AACGCTCAGCCGAATGAAACCGAGTCGTAATAGCTCCTGAATTTGCGCCTTAAGCTCCTGCAATTCTTTTGGCGCCATACGATAGGGTGCTTTAGAAACTGGCCCGGCTCCTGGAATAAGATCAATAGAGAACTCAACCTGCCGGTTAGGTGGTCCTCCTGGGAGCTCATCTGGAAACACGTCCACAAGCTCACGAACAATAGGAACATCATGAGGTGAGCGTGCTTTTGGAGAATCATCGACAAGGCTGACGAGATAACCCTGACAGTTCCCTCGTCGCAACATCTTCATGGCTTTCGCCATAGAAATGACATGAGGTAAGGAACGAGTCTTAGTGCTGAAGAAAGTGATCTGATCATCTCCCGGAAGATAAAGGGTAATCTCCCGGTCATGACATCGGATATCTGCATGAAAATGTGTTAGCCAATCCATGCCGAGTATGAGGTCAAAGTCCCTCATCTCGAGAACATAAGCATCGGTAGACAATATACGACCACCGATAGAAAGACTGAGGTCAGTGGCTCTGGCTGAAGTCACTATCTTTCGTCCCGAGGCTAAACTCACCTCGAGAGGATCGACAATGGTACTGACATGAACTCCGATAGCATCGAGACATCGTCGTGATATAAAAGTATGAGTCGCTCCAGTATCAAATAAGGCAAAGACAGGAATGTCATTAATCATAAGCATCCCAAACATGGTACCTGGGTGTTGTTCTGCCTCTGCCTGATCAACTGCATAAACACGGGCCTGCTGTCTGTCCCTCTGCTGCTGCTGTGGTGGCCTTTGGGCCTGCTGTCAGGGCTGCTGCTGCTGCTGTGGCTGCTGGGGCTGCTGTGGCTGCTGCTGAAGTTTCTTCGGACAGCGGTTAGCAAAATGTCCCTGCTCGTGGCAATAATAGCAAATATCCTGGCCCATGTGACACTCTCCGCGATAAAGTCGTCCGCAAGTAGGGCACTGTGGTATCTGCTATAGCCTCTGTCGAGTCCTCCTGTCCGTCTGGGCACCTTTCCCCTTCCTCTTCTGGCCTTTCGGTGGCTGGGCAGCAGTCGGTGGAACTGATGGGGCTATAGATGACTGGCTTGGGGCAACTGGCTGAATACGATCACGGTTAGCCTCCCTCCGAATGCTGGCATCTACCTCTTGGGCAATGGAAACGGTACGAGCATAGGTCTGGACTCCGTGACCTACAATATTGTGACGGACTGCTGGGAAAAGCCCGTCAGTGAAACGCTGTGCTCGCTGTGCCTCAGTACGCACTAAATCTGGAACAAAAGCTCCGAGTCTGGTGAACTCTCTCTCGTACTCATCAACAGTACGAGTACCCTATTTGAGCGACAGAAACTGCCGCTCCATCTCAGCTCGGTAGTACGTGGGATAATACTTCTCCCGGATCATCTCCTTGAATCTCTCCCAGGTACAACCTTCTTTCTCGCCGGGACGCATACTCTAGTAGGCATTCCACCAGAGTCGGGCATCACCGGTCAACTGAAGCTGTGCGCAAGTAACGCGATAGCGATCTTGACAGTCCATGACCTCGAAAATCAATTCAAGACCCTGAACCCACTCATCAACGATACGCGGATCTCCCTGACCGGAGAACTTCTCAGGATGGTAGTCGCGAAACTGTGCGACTATCGTGGCCTGAGAAACAACAGGACGGTCGGGTTCTCTACGGGGCGGCATCTGATCATTGAAAAGTTTCAACATGATTAAAATACAATGAAATACTTTAACTGATCATTAAAGCACACAGATATCTTGACGAGTTGCTAAGCATGACTGGATACTGACTGATATTCTGACTACTGATCCTGAACATGAATTGAGCATCTTAACTAATTTATAACTGAAAATTTCTGAGCATAGAAATAGTAACTTGTTTATAATTTGAAAACATGAATCAGCACTTACCTGTAGTCGGCGTGCCGTGAGCGTGACGTGTTCAGGTTTTCTAAAATTTTCTGACTCGTAAAAATTTTCAGAGACGCAGAAACGTGCTCTGATACCAACTGTAACACCACGCCTTATCAAAATCAGAGTGCGTTATACAAACCCTTTTTAAATAAAATACTGATTGGTTCGCATAATACTGATGCAGAGTGCTACCATAATACATGACTTACTTTAAAATCAGACTGTTTTTAAGAAAACGGACTCACAGCCTGCTGACAGTCAAAAGGACTAAGTTTGACAAAAGTGAAAAGTCAGCGGAAACTGTAGTGG